GGATCAAGAAAATGTGGTATATATACACAATGGAATTCTATGCCTCCATCAGAAAGAATGACATTGCCCCATTTGTTAGGAAATGGAAAAACTTGTAAAAACTTATATTAAGTGAAGTAAGCCAGGCCCAAAGAAACATAGGTCCCATGGTTTCCCTTATTTGCAATATCTAGTATATGTATGAGTCAAGCGGAAAAGGTCAGATAATGTGATATTAGGAAAATGAACCCTTAGATATGTATTTTAATGTTTTTTTCCTTTCATGCATTTGTTTCTAACGCATTTATAAGATTATCTGTTTGTAGCTTTGTATGTCCCTCCCCCACAGTATAACCCCTGCTTTCACTATATTTGATGTCAGTATAACTTGTAGAGGAGATGGGGAAAAACAAGTCGTTTAAGGATACAGGTGTCGAAAACTACAATGTTGGTGTGGAGGGGGGGGGGGGGGGGGTAGGAAGCGGGAAGGATTGGGTGGGGGGGGGGAGGCTGGGAAGGGATGTGACGGGTAAACAAAGGAGGAGGCTGCAATGCTTGATAAGAAATGTACGCATTAACCTGCCCATGTAATTGTAACCCCTCTGTACAGTATGTTCACAAAAATAAAAATAAAAAAAAAGAAGAAAAAAAATGTGATGCATTTTTCTTTCTCATTTTATTTTCCATTTTGTCTTGGAATAGTAACTTCCAGGAACAACTTATAGTATCACCGTGTGTGTACTAGAGCTTGCTTTGAAAATCTGTTCAAGTCTGGTACTCTACCACTTGAGTCACAGCTCCCTTTCTAGCTTTGTGCTGGCTAACTGGAGATAAGAATCTTACAGACTTTCCTGCCCAGAAACCTCTAACCACAATCCTCAAATTTTGGCCTCCTGAGGAGCTAGGATTAGAAATGTGAGCCGCTGGCTTGTGGGAATTTTATGTGCAATGGAGATTTACTAGAATCACATCTGCGGTGATTTTCTGCTTCACAAATGACTTCAGCTAGACAATCTGCTAAAGCAACGTGGTACTGAAATTGTAAGCTTATGTTCTTTTGGGATATTTTTCACAGTAAGATAAAGGGAAGCTCTTGTGCTGACGGTATGACCAACAGGTCTAATTTATGTATATGCACAAAGCCTCTAGACCTGTTTAGTTTCCTTACTTGGCAAGTATACTTGAGATTCCCTGAGGACTCTTAGAACCAATCTTGCCCCTTTCAGCGATGTATACTATTTTCTTTTCTTTTTTTTTTTTAAATTTAATTTTATTTGTGAACATACTGTACAGAGGAGTTACAATTACATGGGCAGGATAATGCGTACATTTCTTACCAAGCATGGCAGCCTCCTCCTTTGTTTACCCTTCACCTCCCTTCCCAGCCTCCCCCCTCCCCCCCAATCCCAATCCTTCTCCTTCCCCCCTTCCCCCTCCTCTCCCCCCTCCCCCCCCACGTTGTAAAGCTCGTTTTGGACATGACAATTTGTACTTCTCATTGTTGCAACAGGTCCACCTGTATCCTTAAACAACTGGTTTTTCCCCATCTCCTCCACAAGTTATACTGACATCAAATATAGTGAAAGCAGGGGTTATACTGTGGGGGAGGGACACACAAAGCAACAAAGAGATAATCTTATAAATGCACATGCATGAAAGAAAAAAACCTTAAAATACATATCTAAGGGTTCATTTTCCTGACATCACATTATCTGACCTTTTCCGCTTGACTCATACATATACTAGATATTGCAAATAAGGGAAACCATGGGACCTGTGTTTCTTTGGGCCTGGCTTACTTCACTTAATATAAGTTTTTCCAAGTTTTTCCATTTCCTAACAAATGGGGCAATGTCATTCTTTCTGATGGAGGCATAGAATTCTATTGTGTATATATGATGTATACTATTTTCAAGCCTACTTTAAAACCCACAAGAACAATAGCCTACAACCCCAGTGTTTCTATGTGGACATCTTGGCCTTGTTCAGGCTCTTCAGTTCCCACGTTGGGGTTCAGGGCCTGCAGTTCTCACAGGGGTTCAGGGCCTGCAGTTCTCACAGGGGTTCAGGGCCTGTAGGTATCACGCGGGGGCTGTGTCTTCTTGAAGTGTGGGGCTGCTCACGGCGGGCAGAATCCTGGAGGTGATGACATGGTCGGTGCAAAAATGGAAGGCTGGAAGCGGTGCCCCAAAGCCCGAGCCAGACTCAGGGGGCGGGGGGGGGGGGTTCCCCGGGCTGGTGTGTCCCCAGTCTCACAGGCGTGACCAACACTGCACACACATACACACACACACACACACACAGTACAGACTTCTGTCTACGCACACACGCGTGGGAGACACCGTGCTGCACACGACTGTCCCGCACCCTGCCCACGCGGTCTCGGTCTCGGCCTGGCCACGCGTGATGTCACTCCCTCCCATGATGAGCTTCCCTGTCTGGGTCTTCGCGGACACTGCCCCAGCCAGATCATCACGTTATCCCTTCGCTGTGCCCGCCCCGCCCCCTCACCTCCTTAAGTGCACCGGGTCCCCCGCACTGACTCTCGCCAGCCCCGCATTGGCCCAGAGCCAACATGGAGGTGGCGGGCGCGGGGCCATGGAGGCCTCAGGAACAATGACAGCGTGGGCTGTGCTCCACTAATCAGGCTTCTCCGCAGCCGGGTGCAAGCGCCGCAGGCTCCAGGAGGGCTGCGGGGACGTGGGTGGGGAGGCGCCGCCGTACTCACCCGCGCTGGCTAGTGCAGGTAGCCCTTCATTTTGGCGAAGACCAGGTCGCCCGCTTTGTACTCTTGGGGCCGCGGCCGCGCCATTGTACTCGCTTGCCGCGCAGACGATATAGGCCGCGCTGGGCTCGCTGGCGGCTCCGCAGCCTTGGGCTGGCCGTGCGGGCGAGGCGCGCGGGGGCAAGGGCGCCATGAGGGCCGCGAGTCACCGCCGGGCCTTGCCCCGCGCCCAGGCCTCGCCGCCGCCGCCGCTTCACAGGCGCTGTGCTGCAAGCTTCATAGGCGCCGCGCCGCGCCGCGCCGCGCCACGGGCCTCAGGCAAATAACAGACAAACAAGCATGGCAATCTCCTTTTCTGATACTGGTGTTGCTGGTACCAAGAGAGTCAACCAAGCAAGGCCATTCACTTGTCCTTTGGGGGCAAAACAAAGAAATAACTCTGACACAGGTCAATACACAAATAAGTATTGACCATAGGTGTTTGTCAGTCTAGAGAATGTGTATGGAGAATTCAGTGAAAATTGATGGATAATCCTAACACCAAGTTTCTGATCCTGCAGAAATCTGCAGGGTCTGGACTCTGGCAAACAGGATGACCACTGATGCCTCCTCTTGAGTATCAGACACTGCAGCCTGCAACTTGCAGTTATTTGATTAAAATGTTATAAATATTTGGATGTTATCACAGAGCTTACTCAAAACGTATCTATTCCTAAATCACACCCTGAACCCCTCCACTCTCCTGATGTTTCCATTCAGGAAATGTCACCTTTGAAAACACTTCAGTGGTTTTTATTCCTGTTGTGGGGTGCTAGATGAGAGAGGAAGGGAATGACTACAAGGAAAAGTCACACTGGGGCACTGGGAAAGGCAGGGTTTGCAGGTCTAGCCTGAATGACAAGGAGAGGATTCTTTACTGAAGCCAGCCTTGGGTCTACTGCACCAGAAGCTGTGATAGCCAAAAGGCAGGCTGCAGCCTCATTTCTGTGCAATGGCAGCAGGGCAGGTCCGGGTGTGCTGGAAAGCTGGCATTTCTGCCACTTTCCTGGACACCAAGGCCAGCTGTGAACTCTCCAGGATGAGTCAGGAGGCAGCCTTGAGAACACATTTGGGCAGTGGAGGTGATGTCACTGACTGGTAAGGGTCACTAATGGTGCCTACTCCAAGACTGGCTGGTTAATTCTAACTTAGAGTATGCTTGGTAAGATTGCTGCCTACTCTGCTTTACTTCCTTCCTGGAGGGAAGAAACCCTTCCCAGAAAAGAAAAAAAACTTGCCCGCACTCAGGCAGTTGCCAAGTGCCCCAGATGTGTTGACCATGATCTCCCTGGAGCTGCCTTTACCTTTAAGTTGCAAAAGGAGGAGACATTTCAAGGGTGGACAAGTTAACATGGGGAGAAGGGGTTGTTAGGGAAATGGATGACTCCATTGCTGCTATACCATTGTGTCAGACTTAACCATTTTTTTCCAACTGCTCCCGCAAGAAAACTTGGACAGCAGGAGGCAGTTGTATGAAGAAGAATGTATTGTAAACACAAGCTAAACACAGAGTAGGGTTGGTGTGTGTCTGTCCCTCTGTCTTGGTGTGTTCCGTGACACAAAGCAGCCTTGTAAAAACAAGACATCAAAAGAGGCTCTTGGGGGAGTGGGAGCTGTCTCTCCCGGGCTTTGGAGCTGGGCCGGGCATGCGCACCCTAAGATCACTCTAAAATCACTAAAGCCACAATCCCAGCTCCAGATTGCCACATTTTAAAGAACAGAATTTCAACAGCTACTTGTTAAGAAGTTCAGTGTTTCTAAATCATTTTGGGGGCTGGGAAGGTGGCTCAGTGGTAGAGTGCTTGCCTTGCATGCATGAGACCCTGGGTTTGATTCCTCAGCACCACATAAGCTGAAAAAGCCAGAAGTGGCGCTGTGGCTCAAGTGGTAGAGTGCTAGCCTTCAGCTGAAGAGCTGAGGGACAGCACCCAGGCCCAGAGTTCAGGTCCCACGACTGTCAAAAAAATAATTTGTGCACAATTTTTGTAGGCAAGACTGATTTGACTCTTTTCAGGTGTCCATAGGATAGACTGAAAATCATACCTTCATCTGTGTGAAATAGTTGGGTTAACACCAACCCCAAGTGGTCCATTTTTTTTCAGGAAAGAAGTGAAAATAAATATTACTATTATTCTAGTTTCATCTTTTGGCCTCTACTCCTTCTCCTCCCCTGCAGAGCAGGCCACAAAGCTCACAGTAATCACATACACAGGGAGAATGCAATTGGTGTTTATTGGAGCAGGCTGAAACACAGTTGTTACACTTTCTTGGTAATGCTTTTAGGAATAGCAAGTTCATAGATACGAGGGGAGGCTCTAGCCACCAGAGAGGCAGGGGATATTTGGTAGGGGTTATAACCCTCATTGATGTCCTTACGAATCTTAGGCTGAGCCAGGGTGATGATCCGCTCACTGGCCACCGCCCTCTTGGTGACATCTAATACCTCCCAGCGTGGACTTCGGTCAGGGATGCATTTTTCTGACTGAGCCTTAGGCATTGCCAGTTGTAGAAGACGATTGTAATCGGACATATGTGCCTTGGGCTTTGGCATGGGATCCCACTCTTCTGATACCGTTGGTGGGCCCTTAGGCTTTGCTAAATGCAAGATCCGTGCACTAGGGACCGCCATCTGAGCTGCCCGGGACACCTTAGATAATTCAGACATATCAATAGTCCAAATGTTATTACGGACTTTCGGGATAGCCAATTCCTTCAGCCGGTTGGTGGGATGGTATGCTATGCTGGGCAGGGGTCTAGGCAAGATCTTGTTTCGGTAACACTCTAAAGTTATCTTCTTTGGCTGTGACAGCTCCTCCACTCTTCGGGACACAGCTGGTACCGTGATGGTCAGAGTGGTGTCCTCATGAAAGCGTTCATTCCAGTATATGGAAGGCCAGTACAGGCAGAACTGTAAGGTCATCTTTCGTGGTGAAACCCAGGCATAGCCCTTACAACAGCACTCTGGTCTGTCTCTTTGCCATCTGGTCTTGCGCCTTGCCAACTCACAGAGCCTTCTCCTGTTCCTGGAGACAGTGGTGGACTTTTCCGTGATGGTCAGCTGACTTATTTCAGGAATATTATCCCTCACATCCTGCTCCAGAGCCTTCATTAGGTCCCGGACCTCTGGTAGCAGCTCCTCAGGAACCATCTTTTCAGTGGCAATAGCTGCTACTCTATCTTGGAGATCTACCACTATGTCAGGGCTCTGGATATCAGGCTCCTGTAGCCACTGGCTCTCGAACAAAATGCGTTGAGTACCCAGTAGAACATCATCCAACGTTTTTTCTGGCTCAGAGGTGTTAATAGGCACACCTTGCCGGTACTCCCCCATATGCAACCCTACTCCTTCAACACCTCAAACATATCTGTGGTCACCATGGCACCAGGAGAATTGTTTCATCCTTAGATTCCATCATCCTCATTCCAAGTCCTAAGTGGAATGCTGCAATCAGGTGATGTCAGGGCAATACATAATTAACTTCTTCCTTCTTCCTCCCTTTTCTTCCTTCTTTTCTTTTCTTTCACCTCCCTCCCTCCCTCCCTCCCTCCCTCCCTCCCTCCCTCCCTCCCTCCCTTCCTTCCTTCCTTCCTTCCTTCCTTCCTTCATTTTCTTTTGCTGCCAGTCCTAGGGCTTAAACTCAGGACCTGGGCACCACCCCTGAACTTCTTCTGCTTAAGGCTAGTGCTCTAACACTTGAGCCACAGCACCACTTCTAGCTTTTTCTGAGGGGTTTATTGGAGATAGAGTCTCATGGAATTTCCTTTGCAGGCTTGCTTTGAACCACAGTCCTCAGATCTCAGCCTCCTGAGTAGCTAGGATTACAGGGAAGAGCCACTAGTACCTGGCAGTAGTCCATTTTTCTTTTAATGGAGCATGTAGGTGGGAAATAACCTCAAGCATCTGGGCTTCAGTTCTGGACTGGAGAAACAGTCATGCATTGCAGGGAATGTTTACTTTCTCCAAGGGATAGTCCTGTGCTCTCAGACTATGTATAATATGCAGTAGATGTGAGAATTTAAAGGTAAGGAGAATCACAGGTAAATGTAAAATGCTATATGCCAATTAACACAGGTGAGAGACTAACCTAATTAATAGTGTAAGTACCTTTATACTTTAACTGACCTAGGTGAAAATTAGTCACTGAAGAACTAGTATTGTGACCTTCAGTGGGTGGCTGAACATCTCATCCTTACTTTCTTCAACTGGACCTAGGGTAATAATACAAACTGAGTATCTCTAAAACTATATGATACAAAATGTTCCAACACTTGAAACTTTTTAAGCACCATTATGATACCACTTATGAAAAAGCTCACAAAATGCTTTTTGTGTTTATACTTGGGTCCTATTCCCATGTCATTTCATGATACACACACATATACTGATGCATGTCTGTCTGTATGTATGTATGTTGCATATGCATACACATACAGATATTCTAAAATATTGAAGCCATCTGAAACGCAGAGTAATACTGGCTTTAAGTATGTTAGATTAGAGATATTCAACATATAAGTCAAATCAGGCCCAGGAAGAATCAATTCCTGACCACCTGGGATGTGGTCACTCTACTCTAGACCTCTGTGGCTCTTGACATCATTATTTCATGTTATCCTTTTCAGTTTGGCCTCCTAACCCATATAGACTGGGAGTCCTCTGAGGACTGTTAATCTTCAGAATATATTGCACATGAGTGGATATAGTAAGTATCTCAGCTAGGGAATGTGGCTTAGTGGTAGAGTGTTTGCCTAGCACGCAAGAAGCCCTTTTCCTCAGTATCACATAAACAGAAAAAGCTGGAAGTGACACTGTAGCTCAAGTGGTAGAATGCTAGCCTTGAGCAGAAGCTCAGGGTCATTGTCCCAGGCCCTGAGTTCAAGCCCCAAGATTGGCAAAAAGAAAGGAAGAAAGACAGAAGGAAAGAAAGAAAGAAAGAGAGAGAGAGAGGAAAAGAAAGAAAGAAAGAAAGAAAGAGAGCGAGAGAGAAAAAAAGAAAGAAAGAAAGAAAAAGAGGGAAAGAGAAAGAGGGAAAGAAAGAAAGAGGGAAATAGAAAGAGAAAGAGGGAAAAAGAAAGAAAAGGAAGGAAGGCAGAAGAAAGGAAGAAAGAGAGAGAGAAGAAAGAAAGAAAGAAAGAAAGAAAGAAAGAAAGAAAGAAAGAAAGAAAGAAGGAAAGAGATTCAGCTATTCCTAGAGTGGTCAGAGTTGTGCAGTAGCCATATATTCCCCTTCATTGTGAGTAGGTATGGTGCTTTTCAGCTGGAAATAGCCTACTGTGAAGGAACAGACGTGGCAGTTCCTTTGCTGGAATTCTTGATCATCTAGGGAAGGAGAAGGGTTGAGTCTTCTGTCCCCACTGTGTTCCCAGATATCTAGTATCAGTGTGACCCCAACTATTCCCCTCTGTTGTGTATATTGGAGAGCATTTTGCTTTCTCAGGCTGAGCTAGGTCCTCAGGATGGGGCTACTACATTGGATACCTCATTGATGGGGCCTCTGCACAGAGTGCACCCTCAGTTAAAACATGTTGGATAAATTTATCTTGGCTAGTCATGTTCTTTTGTGAGTGAAATCTTTTGTTACGTAGATGTTGGTGAGATCATCAGTAACCTCGGGATCTCTGATGTGAACCTAGTGACCAAGAGGCCATTGTCCTTACTGACCAGATGGGCTCTCCACTGGTAAGGGGAGACTGCCTTTGTCTTTCTCCTGCTGCTGTGTCTCCTGCTTCTCTTCACACTTCTCTCCCCATTGGCCCTTTCTTTGCACTGGCACTGTTGTTTTGTGTCTGGGTCTTTCTGGCCCACATGTTGACATTCTTGACTAGAAGACCCTGTATCAGTGTTTTCTTTGTTTCCCCCTACATACCCATAAATACCCATAGGGGTATTAACTGACTTTGGTATTCTTTTATAATGACTCTGCTAAGCAAAGCATCTCTTCCATTCTAGACCCAGTGAGATCAGAGATTTTCTGTGTAGATAATAAAAATACAGAATGAGGTAGGGTCATAGATCAAATGGTAGAGTGCTGGTTAGGCAAGCACAAGGGCCTCAGCTCAAACCCCAGCACCAATAAATAAATGTGCAGTGGTGAAGGTGAGAAACTTGGGCTCCTTTTCCTTGGTAGCACCCACTGCTAGCTAAAATGTACACCATTTACCTGTGGGATTTTGCCATTTCTGGAAGAAGATTGTAATACTTAATTGATGTTTAATGAGTGGTTTTGTATAATAATAAATAAAATAATTTCTTTTTGTAATCATATTGGGTACCATCAGGCAACAGTAGAAAAGGCATGCCGTGGTTTTAACTTTGAAATAAATACAATTTGTCATAGCAGTTCTGTTGTCCACAGAGATAGGACAGAAGATATTTCAAGGGCACAATATGGAGAGAAATGAGCAGGAAATATTAAATCCTGGATCAGTTGTGAGTTAATGTTTTTAATCTCTCAGTAATTCTTCATAAAAATAGTTGTGAAGATTTTTTCATGAGAAATGAGTCATAGACATTGCCTCATTTGTTTGGAAATGGAAAGACTTGGAAAAAATTATATTAAGTGAAGTAAGTCAGGCCCAAAGAAACATAGGTCCTATGGTTTCCCTTGTTTGCAATGACTAATACAGGTCTAGGACAAGCAGAGAAGGTCAAAGGCTATGTACATATGACCACAGGAGATAATGGTAAGCAAAATGTACCCCAAGACAGGGACACAAGTGGTTTTTTCTTTCTTGCTAGTGTTTTTAATGTACTTACAATGCACTATGTGATTCTTTTGTTTTCTTTTTTGTATGTTCTTCCCCCATGGTATAACCCCTGTTTTCACTGGATTTGATGCCAGTGTTCTGCATCTTGTATATACATTTTTGTAATTGGGAAAGGGATATTGCGGAACATTTAAATGAGGATGCAGGCTGACTCACTGTGACAAAGAGATGTACAGGACACTATGTAGAAAACAAACTTTACAATATTGGGGTGGGAGGGAGGGAGGAGTTGGGGAGGTGGGGAGGGAAGTGATGGTAGGAGGAAAGCAAAGGAGGAGGTAACAATGCTCGCTATGAAATGTACTCATTTCCCTACTCATGTAACTGTAACCCCTCAGTACAACATTTTTACTATATATGTATACATATATATATATATATATATATATATATATATATTTAAAAGGAAATGAGTCATAGAGATCCTTCATGTCCTTGGTGAGTTTGATAATCAACCATTGCAGTCACTGAGTGAACTGATTGATGATTTACCTGTGCTCTCTTCTTATAAATGTCATTAAAACTTCTTTTTATTTAGAGCCTTTCTCTAGGATACAGATAACGAGGCACTCTTGTCTCATAATAAACTACCCTCTCATTTTGCTTTAGTGTTGTTCATTTGCATCAAAACTTCAATTCATTCAACGTGTGAGAAACAGCACTAGAAGAGATGAACAACTAATTTTCACTGGAGGAAATACAACTGCAAAAACCCTAGTCTGAGAACATTGGAAGGCATAAGATTCAGAAGAAGGGCCTGGTCTTCATGGGGGATCCTATCATTTTCTCAAGAGGCACAGCAGACATAAAAATATGATGAGCACATTACAAGTGCCCATCCAGTGATTTATGAAAGTAGTGAGAGTTTGTGTCTCATTGCTTCTGCTTTCCCAATGAAGAATTATTGTATATCAGGGGAATAGTTAGTGTTTACTTGTGAAGAGCTACTGTAAATGAACAAGAGAGAAAGTTCAAGTGTTAGGCCTTTGTCCATTTACGGGGTGTTTCCAGGAAGTTAGGGAAGGAGGAAAAGGAGCCGTGAGTGTGAAGGAGATAGTTCAAGGCACTGCATACACTGGATAAGGAAGGGCCTGGTAGATGGTAAGGAACAGTGTGCAACAGTGTGCAACAGTAGAAACCTCCAGGAGGCTGAAGGCTGTGCTTTGGGGGGCTTTAAAGAGGGAGCTGGTGAGGAGAGAGGGAAATAAAGAGACATCATAGGTATTATATTCTTCTCAGATCCCCAGAGAATGATCTTGTGAGGGAAGACTTGGGAGGAAAGAGAACATTACCTAGGAGGAGAGACTCCAAAGGCTGCTGCTTAGCCTTATTGGCATTGAGGTCTGCAGTTAAATTCAGAAGGACAGTTTTGAGAGTGTGCTGTGTGTCCTAAGATTGGCTGGCTAAGTCAAGAGTGATTGTATTGAAAGATAGTAATGATATCCACAATAGGGACAATAAGTAGCTTTTTCAGAAGCAACTTTAATACTACAGATCTAGTCCTTTAATCATAAGCCCTCCCTCCAGAAAACCCTATTTCTTCATATTGAAACCAGCAAGCTT